TTCCCTTCCTTCCCTTCCTTCCCTTCCTTCCCTTCCTTCCCTTCCTTTCCTTCCTTCTTTCCTTTTTTCTTTTTAAAGATTGATTTATTTTATGTATGTGAGTACACTGTCACTGTCTTCAGACACACCAGAAGAGGGCATCGGATCCCATTACAGATGGTTGTGAGCCACCATGTGGTTGCTGGGAATTGAACTCAGGACCTCTGAAACAGCAGTTGTTGCTCTGCTCTTAATTGCTGAACCATCTCTCCAGCCCATAGGTCAGGTTTTCAAAGACTTATTCCGGGCTGAAAATCAGAGGCTTACTACTCTAGGTATACTCTGGGCCTTGTAAGGCATCAGAAGAATCTTTGCCTCTTGTTGTTGGTTTGGTTGGTCTGTCTTTCTGTCTGTCTCTGTCTCTCTCTGTCTCTCTCTCTCTCTCTCTCTCTCTCTCTCTCTCTCTCTCTCTCTCTCTCTTTCTCTTTTTGTTTTTGAGACAGGCATGGATCTTAACTTAAGGAAGCTTTTGGGAGCTCTTCCAGCTCTCTGCGATCCCTAGCTTAGCTGTTCCTACTTTCTCATAGCCTCAGTGTGTCTGCTGTCCTTTACAGTCTCTGTAGTCTGCCTGTTAGCAACCTCCTAGCTGTGGTCATTTTGATTTTGGTTCCTAGGACTCGCATTTTTTATATTTTAAAATCCTTTATGAATACCTCCGTGATAAATGAGCCTGGAGCACTTGTAAGGAGGAAGGCAGTCTGAAGCTGGGCTGTAACTTCAGCAGAAGCAGTGGTTCCAGAGGTCCCTGCAGCTGGTGTGGTGTTCCCTCAGAGGAATCCCTGGCATGTTCAAAACAGCCAGTCTACACAGTGAGGGCACTGCTAGTTGTGAAAGAGCAGCTTTTTTGACAGTTCTCACTCAGGGCAGCTAGGCACGAGGGAGGGGTCTGCCGGTTGTCAGTCAAATGGCCAGCTGGCTGTTTCAAATCGTTTATTTAAAGAAAAAGTCAAGGATGCTAGGGAGAGGAGGAGCCTGCAAGAAGGGAGGAGCCAGGGCGGGGTGAGGGTAAAAAAGAGAGGACAAGAGAAGAGAAAAGAAAAACACTAAAGGACCCTTACAGGAGGGACTTGTCCTGGAATTAACAGTCTCAAAAGTACTTACCAATGCTTAGCTCTTAAAGAAGGATTCTTCTGCTCTGTTCTTTTTTGTCATTTTTTGTTTGTCTTTCATTAGTTAGTATAAAACTTATAATTGGGCTGTCTCCATATATCTCAGTATCTGGTACTTTGTAAATTGATATTATATGAAATTTACTTTTAAGGCATATTATCAGCAGATATTATGATAAAGCAAACAATGTTCTTCATTGAAGATTGTAATTAACTTTCCAAGCATGATTGTCTACAAATTTCATTTTTTAATACAGGGCAGAATCTAGATAGTATGCTCCATGGCACTGGTATGAAATCAGACTTGGACCAGAAGAAGCCAGAAAATGGAGTTACTTTAGCACCAGAGGATACCTTGCCTTTCTTAAAGTGCTATTGCTCAGGACACTGCCCAGATGATGCTATTAATAACACATGCATGTAAGTATTTGGTCTAGTCCTTAAGAGTTAGATGAATAGTAAACTCAGATAAGGGTTTTTTCCTTTTGTATATGGTATCTTTCCACAGAAATACAGGACTCTTGGCTTGAATATAGAAATATTGTTGTCTATCATTAAACAATTGATGATTGATGAGTTACATCACGATACAGCTTCTTTTTTGTTTATCTTGATTTTTGAGGCAGGGTCTTTTCTACATAGACCTGGCACTCACTATGTATACCAGGCTGGCCCTGAACAAAAGGTGTGCACTACTATGCCTGGCTTACTTTTTGGGTTTTTGTTTTTTGTTTTGTTTTTTGGTTTTTCAAGACAGGGTTTCTCTGTGTAGCCCTGGCTGTCCTGGAACTCACTCTGTTGACCAGGCTGGCTGCGAACTCAGAAATCTGCCTGCCTCTGCCTCCCAAGTGCTGGGATTAAAGGCGTGCGCCACCACCGCCCAGCTTACTTTTTGTTTCTTTACTGACCTTTAAAGTCATGAACCTAATCATGTTCCTTGTAGAAAATGTTTCCCCTTTTGTAGATAACTGAATCGAAAAACAAAATGTTTACCCATTGCTGCCTTAGCCAGTTGCAGCAGAGTGTAGATACACAGGAATGTACTGTGATGGTTTTGTTATTCCTCTCTGGATTTCTAGTCTACATTTGCTTTGTATGGCTCAACTTTATGTTAACCATTCAATCCACTTACAGTCATGTAACTTGAGTTCATATCTTTTAAACATGTATGTATTGTGCATGTGTTTAGCTATACATGAAGAGATCAGAGGATAACTTGCAGACGTCTTCTCCTACTGTGTGAGATTCAGGAGTGGAACTCAAGATTGTCCGTCTAGGCAGCAGCGAGCACTTTTACATGCTCAGCCATCCTGTGTCCATAGGCCGTATCTTGGAGCGCATTGAAGAGTTGTAGATTTTTCTTGTTACCATACTTTTTGGCTACTTTATTAGGTTCTTAATATCTAATACCCTTCTCTACCCCAGTCCTTCTAACTCTCCAACACTAGGTAGGAGAGAAAGAGGGTTAGAGGGGAACAGGGGCCATAGATCTCATTAGACTACTTCCTTCTGATTAGGGGCCTTATGTTCCTTGGGGCAAGTTCAGTCTTCGTTGTCAGGATATCTCCAGTCAGCAATCCAGCAAAACAGCAAAAGCAGCAGCAGGAGTAACCAGCAACAGCAGGGGGAGCAGCTACACCGCAGCCTCCTGGGCTCTGGCATTTTTATACCCTCTCAAGAGTGCCCAGAATTCCAAACATAATCTATCTTCAACCACCAGAATCACACCCCTGCTAGAGCATGAGACAAATTGTTGTTAGCTGCTGTGGACAGTCTGAAGCAGTCCCACATCCCACACCTGGGATTAAAACAAAAATATAGTCACATAACTGGGCTTTTTAAGAAATCAAAATTCTCACTATACTTCTGGACAAAAGCAGACAGACAAACAAAAACAACTGTGTGCAGTTCAGTCTCATCAGTCAATTAATTGTTCCCTTATTATAGAATTAATAAGAAAGGCCAAATTTTGTAGTTTTCTGTGCTCTTTGAATAAACTAGATATAATTTATAAAACTTAAGAGTATGAAATAATATAATTTATCCTTCCTATATTTGCTAAGGGAAAACTCAAGGACACTGATATTAAAGTGGTAAAACTTTATAAAACAAATATATTTATGTAAAAATTTTAAACATGAACTATGCAGGCCATCTCTCTGCTTTCCAGTCACGTTTATTATGAAGTACTTTTGGAATCTAAGTCATCTGTTCTTCCCAGATATACTTTGCTGTGTCATTAGGGTCTGCTGAAATGTTTTTCAGAAAAGCTTGTTTCTAGCTCCTACCATGTATATATAGTGTGTGATCATGAGTTTGGCTAGCAGAATACTTATATAACCACATACACATGGGGAGCATTTATTAGTAGAGCCCCTTTTCTATTTGACAGAATTCTCAGTGGCCCTTTAGGCCTTAGTTTAAGCACACTACCTTTGATTTAGCCTAAATCTAAATTGGTTTTGCTAATAAATCATATGAAAATACAATTTAAATATAAAAAATCAAGGTATTGAAGGGTATATTCAATTCATATATCTTTAGTTCTTTTATATGTCTCTTTTAAAATTTTACATGCCTTTATTTGGTATGTACATATGTTGTGCACATGTGCACACATCAGCTTGTCAGAATCAGTTCTTTCCTTTCACCATCTAGGTTTTAGAGCTCCAACTCCAGTCTTCAGGCTTGGTGACCAGTGCCCTTAGCCACTGAACTGTCTCTCTGGCCTTCTTTATCAGACAGTCTTTATGTAGCTCAGGGTGATCTAGAACTCAAGATTCTCCTGCTTTAGCCTCCCAAGTGCTGGGGTTCTAGATGTGTACCACCATTGCTTTGTTCTTTCTAATATGAAATTGTATTGTTGTTTTCTCTCTTTCAGAACTAATGGCCATTGCTTTGCCATTATAGAAGAAGATGATCAGGGAGAAACCACATTAACGTCTGGGTGTATGAAGTATGAAGGCTCTGATTTTCAATGCAAGGTGAGATCTAATTTGTAACCTATCACCAGACTGTCTCGACCTGCCATCTGTCCAAGTAATGACATGGAGACCTTTTATTAATTATGAAAGCTTGGCCTTAGCTGGCTCATATAATTTAACTTAATCTGTTCATACTAATCTCTGTTCTACCACATGGCTTGTTATCGCTTCTCAGTCTTGGCAACTGTTTCTTCTTCCATTTCTGGCTGACAAATCCCATGTCTAAATCTTTCTCAGAGTTCCTATCTCTACCCTGTAGTCCACCTATCCTCTCCTGCTTTGCTATAGGCTGTTCAACTCTTTATTAAACCAGTCACAGGTGATGGAGAAGATGTTACAAAACACTAAGATAGTGATGCTTCCTAAAAATAACAATACCGGGCCTGTACAGAAGTCAGCATTTAAATAATACAAAGACAGCCTTTACACAGAACACAAGAGATTATCCCAACAGTAACTCAAGAAGTAAGGAAGGGTAGAACTTTGTGAACAGAATTGAGCTTCCTAGCAGAAGTAGACTGCTCTTTCACACTACTGTGGTCACAAAATTTTCTAAAGAAAGCCTGTTTCATCAAGTAATAGGATTTTACTAATTGAAGTTCTAGATTGCTTTACTTTCAGTTTTGAATCATCCTAGATTGTGGTTATTGCAAAAAAAAAAAAAGTGACTGTCACATTTATGTTAGAGCGTAAAATTTATTGAAACGACTTTAAGATAGTGGATAGTAATGTTTGTTTCCCCGTAACACTATTAAATCCTTGTTTCAGTATGTGGTGATTTGCATAAGATGTCCCCCATAGTCTCAGGCATTTTAATACTTGATCTGTACTGTTTGGAAAGGTATAGGGCGTGTGACCTTGTTGGAGGAAGTATGTCACTGGAGGCAGGTTATAAGAGGATAAAACCTTACCTACTGCTAATTTGCTTTCTGCTTGCACTTTGAGGTATGTGTGGGCTCTTAGATTCTGTTCTGCTGCTCTACCTTTGCTATGCCTTTGCTCTACCGCCATGGACTACTTTATACTTTAATTCTACTTGAAAAGAGTAGCAGCAGAGAGGATTCCTTCAGTTTTTTTCTAAATTGTATGAATTTCTTAAAAGACCCTGTCAGTGTTTTTGAAAAGCAGCTCTGGATAAAACTGTTTATACTTTAAATGTCACCTATGTCAGAAAATTAGCCCTATTCAGAACTGGCAGGCTTGATAGAAAACTTGAGAGTTAGATTTATACTTGGAAGTCACTGGGAAGGTGACTAAGAATCTGCTCCCTGTCTCTCTCATACAAACAAACCTAAGCTCTCCTCAAAATACTTTTTAGTGTGTGAGCAAAGTTGTTCCATCCTACTTCCCTACACATCTCATCTTAGAGAAAAATGTCAGTGTCTTCAGATGCCTCTTATAAAGCCATTCAGTTATTACACTTTAGTGCTCCAGTGTAGTGCACAATCAAGAATGCTATAAGCAGAGAAAACCTTTCTCTTACTCTGAATGCAGCTACATGTATTTTAGCAGTTGTGCTGTGTTCTTGAGGCATTGAACTTTTGCCAACTAAACCCTTATGTCTTTGACTGAGTCTGTTTCTGTGCCAGCCACCTTACTCCCACCCTGATTCTTCACTAGTGCTGTTAGTCCTTTGATAGAAGGAGATAGGAATCAGATGGTTTTGTAACCTGTCATGTGTTTGTCAAGTTGTAATATGTTAAGATTTGTTCAGATTTGAGAGGATTTGCTTCTTTCAGTTTTATGCCATTAACAAGTTACCAACTGTGTATGCCTTTGTAAACCACTTTTAAAACCTCACAGAGGAACAGTGGTTACAGGCTCCGAGTTATGACACGATTAACAAGAATCCTACAAACTTCTAAACTGAATTGGTTCCAAACTTAATATAAGTTAGTTTTCAAGCTTAATAATCTGCCCAAACTCATATGCTTCTTCATGAGAGCTGTGAAACTTTGGGCAAGGAGCTTATTTTCTTAGGAATTGTATATATCAAATGAAATAACATAGTAAGGGCTTAATAGATGTTGACGTTTACCTCATCTTGAGCAGTATCCAGCTATGTCACCCACATCCCTAGGTGTGCACACACTCTTGCATGGTAGAATCTTGAGTACATGGTTTTAAGATACCACACTTGATGAATTTCTTTTGTTAAGTACACTCTGAACAGAGCTTGTCAAGTCCCTTTTCTTCCTTCCATAATAACCTTTCTTCTAGTTAAGAGATCATGGGCCTGGGATGACAAAACCTGAAAATTCAACTCAGTTCTGTGCTTAAAAATGAAAACACCAGCCGGGCAGTGGTGGCGCATGCCTTTAATCCCAGCACTTGGGAGGCAGAGGCAGGCGGATTTCTGAGTTCAATGTCAGCCTGGTCTACAGAGTGAGTTCCAGGACAGCCAGGACTACACAGAGAAACCTTGTCTCAAAAAACAAAAACAAACAAACAAAAAAAAAAAAAGAAAGAAAACACCAGCAAAAGGATGTGGGGATATCAGATATGTTGGCATGTTAGGTTGCTGTCGGGTTGGGAGTTTGGAGTTTGCATTTATGCATTAGAGTATGTGCACCAGATCATGTGTTGAAGTCAGAGGCACATGTGGAGTCTGCTCTCCTGTCCTGTGGGTACTGGGGATCTGACTCAGGTTGCCAGGCTTGGCTGTAAGCTAATGCAGAGGCCATGAAGAGGTGCTGCTTACTGCTTACTGGTTTGCTTCCTGTGGCTTGCTTACACAGCCTGCTATCCTAGAGAACCCAGGACCACCAGCCCAGGGATGGTACCACCCACAATGGGCTAGGCACATCAATCACTAATTAATAACATTAATTAGTTGTGGGCCGACAGGCTGGCCCACAACACAGATTTTAGGGAGGCACTTTCTTAATTGAGATTCCCTCCTCTCAGATGATGTTAGTTTGAGTCAAGTTGACACAAAACTATTCAGCACTATTAAAACTACTACTTATCCTCGGAGGGAGTCTCTTAATCTCATTCTTGATCTATTCTCAGTGCTAGGCAGAGGTATAGGTAAATGATTCCCATACGTTTCATGTTCTTGCTACCTCACTGCTAGAGCACTGTCCTGTCTGCCTTGTTCACACCACCTTGTGAGAGGAGTCAGTCCTCAGAACCCTCACTCCATACATTGTCACTTGTCTTCGGTGCACTCTGAGTACTGTTTTTGGCCCAGAAACATAGTGCTTACTTAAGCCAGACTCTTCCATTTCATAGCAGCCAAATAAATTGTTCTCTGGGATATTAATTAATTAGTTATGCGTATAGGTGGTTTTCCTGCATGTATGTATGTGTACCATGAGCATGCCTGGTGCCCAAGGAAGCCAGAGGGTGTCAGATCCCTTGGAACTGGAGTTACAGGTGATTGGGAACTGCCATGTAGGTGCTTGGAATCAAACCTGTGTCCTAGAAGAACATCCAGTGCTCTTAACTGCTGAAGCATATATCTTCAGGTTCCCCTCCCCCTCGCTCCCATAGGATTTTTACTCTCTACTTAGTCTACAGATAGGTAAAATGACTTGGGTAGAGAATGAGGAAGAGTGTAGGAAAGAGAAAACTGTCACCCCATTTCACAATCTAGATACTGGCTTTTTTTTTTTTCTTTCAACCTGATGTATTGTTAATGTGTGTAAGAAAGATGTGAGGTGAGTCTGCTATAGTTTGCTTGTGGTAAAGACACATCAACTCTTGAAGGGCTGTTTAAGGGGTTTTTTTGGCTTATTTAAGACCCTGTAATTCATGTCATATTCACTAGAGAAAGAAGAAATCAATTTATTGAATATTTTTTATTTGCATTTAGTTTGCTAAGTATTTGGTACATTCCACTTTGTTGCTTCGTGGTTACTCTGTAAGGCAAAACATTTTATCCAGTGGTTTTCAGAGCAAACTAAAGAGAGATTAGTTACTTAGGGTCACAAAGTTAGTAACTGGCAAAGCTAGGTAGGTGTATGCTGATTCTTTTTCTTTTTTCAAGTTATTAAATTACCTTCTATCTGTTGGGAAATTTTCTCTTTCTCTTAGATGAAGTCATATGATGTGTGGCCGTCTAGTTCCCCACACTCACTGTTCAGGAATCTTAAGTGATACCTGTCTTTGAGGCATTATGCTTACAAGTGTCTTCATCTTCCTTACTCATTCCTGTTAGGAAGTATGGACTCACATGACATTCTGCATGGCTGTGCAGTGTCGGAGACCATTGTCTGGTGCATAGTCTGCTTTTATTCTTATAGTCATCCCTGGTAGAGAAGACAGAGATGAGAGAAGCTGAGAATTGGGTCTTCATCTTTCATATCTGCTATTAAGTGAGCAGTAATCCATGGTTTAGAGATCTTTAACCCAAGATTGCTGAAGACATCCATTTTTGTTTTCCTTTCACATTAATCTTCTGCAAGGCAATCTTCATTCAGTCTTCTGGGAATGACTGCTTGGCACTTCATTTATTCATTGGTAGTTATGCAATTATTCTTTCTTTTATGCTGATTTTTTTCTCTCAGTGGATTATTTGAGAGTTTGCAGCAAAAACCCTATCATATTTCTGTCTTTCTTTATGATAATTTCAAAGGAATTATTTTAAAAATAAATTCAGCTAACATGTAGAATTTATACATTTGGACATTTCTAAATGTCACTATCTTCCCAGGTGGGATTCAAGCTATAGACTCTCAGTCACCCTTTTTAGGTAACACCTGATTATTTCCATTCTGGATATCTGATATTTAAAAATAATGTGGTCAAGTTCTGCTTACACTCTTGCTACCTTGATAATAATGTACAGGCTCTTTCTAGTCATATTTTAGTTCAGAATGGCATTTCACCAGGTAGCACTGAAATGCCAGCATGTAATCCCTGATGTCTGCTTCCATGTCTGAAGTCTTTCCACCAGTTTTCTGATCTTTTAGGGCATACCTTGTATCTGGTTAGTGGTCTGTATTCACCTCCCTTAACCAGTACCCCTCACCCCACTTGACTAGAACCCCTCTAGTTTCTAGTCTGATCTTAAGTCTCACCCAAATCCTATTCTGCTGTGTTTATGATTCTAATCAGATACTATGTTTTCTAGCAGATAATTACCTTTTAAAACTAAAAGTGACTAGCTGAGTGGTACTTTAAATACACTAATGTTTGGAGTAAAAAAACAATCACTAAAATTCTTCATTCCTTTATAATGTATAATTAATGTCTTTACATATATGATTTTAAGGAAAATTATTTTACAATCTTATTTTCAGAAAAAAATTTAAATTTTCAGTAATTTTTTTTTTTTTTTTGTTATTTTTGGTTTTTGAAGCAGGGTTTCTCTATGTAGCCCTGGCTGTCCTGGAACTCACTCTGTAGACCCAGGCTGACCTCAGACTCACAGGAATTTGCCTGCCTCTGCCTTCTGAGTGCTGGGATTAAAGGTGTGTGCTACCGTAACCAGCTAATATTTCTTGACATTTGGAAGTCCTTGTCTCTGAGTTATAAATTGTATTTACCAATACTAAAGATACTCATACTCAATTTAATATGTCAAGCCTTTTAATTTTACCTTCATTTTTCTTAAAGGATTCACCAAAAGCCCAGCTACGCAGGACAATAGAATGTTGTCGGACCAATTTGTGCAACCAATATTTGCAGCCTACACTGCCCCCTGTTGTTATAGGTAGGTGAGCCCAGAGAAGTCAGGCATGATTCTCTGTAAGTTCTTGTCTGTAACTATAACCACACTACCTAGAATTCAGTGCTGTGAGTTATTTTCTCACTTTCTTAATAAGATGCAGCAAAAAGATACTATACATTATTGCTCACTTTCTTCCTCAGGTCCATTCTTCGATGGCAGCATCCGATGGCTGGTTGTGCTCATTTCCATGGCTGTCTGTATAGTTGCTATGATCATCTTCTCCAGCTGCTTTTGTTATAAGTAAGAAGATACTTATTTTTATACAAATATATTGCTAATTATTCTATATTAGTCTTGTCCTTTTTTTTAAAAAAAAAAAAAAAACAGAAAAAAACCAATGACTACTGAGTGCAATTCAGAAATCACTAATTTATATTCTTTGGCTATAGCTTTTCAACTGTGTTATGGCTTCCCTAAGAGGAAAGATGAACTTAATTACCAATTAATATTTTTTAATAATAATTCATTCTTTTATATTTAAAAAGTCATGGCTTTCTTACTTGTATAATAGTGAGTTTTGTTATATCTAAATTTCTAAAGCAGATTCCTAGATAACATAACAACCTCTTTCCTAGTTTAATAATTTGGAAATTTTCAGTGAAATGAGATTATCTATGAAACAGGTTAGTAAGTAATCTCGTAAATAAATGTATATATAAAGAATTCTACAATGTGCTGAAACTGTCAAATTTAAGAACCTGGAGGAAAAGATAAATTCAGTAAGTAGATTTGATACCGGGTTGCTATATAGAAAAAATAAAATTGGGACAATTTCCTACACTGGTATAATGTGAACCAGATTAGATTAGAACTATATATTCATATGCACAGTTTGGAGAACCGAACCTTTCTGAGTCTGCCTCAACTTGGAAGGAAGCAAAGAAGTAAATAAAATATGAGTAGTATCAGCTACATAAAAACAAAATGTGTGAGAAAACAAAAATCCACAAGTGGTTAGAAGACAGAGCACGTTAAAACTACTGGTAGCTAGTGCTGCAAGTGACTGCTTACACACATAAAAAGAGCATCTACAAATCAAAACTATAATTCAGCAACTAGACAAAAACGAATACAAGTTTTTAAAGAAATATGCACTGCTTCCTGAAAGTCTTTTTTTTTTTAGTTAGATCTCATGATATAACCCTAGATAGCCTTGCACTCACTATGTAGACCAGGTTGGCCTGGAACTTTTGGAGATGCGCACCACCTGTACTTCCCAAGTACTAGAATTAAAGCTGTGTGCAGGCCACACCAGCTAACTTCCTCTTCCTCAGTTATTCTGCACTGGAGTTTCTGAGACAGTTTCTCTACGAAATCTGAAGCTCACTGTTGTAGGCTAGAGGGCCTTGCCAGTAAGCCTAGGGCTCCTCCTATCTTTGCCTCCCCAGTGCTGGGATTACAGGTATACCGTAGTTCTTCATGGGTACCGGTGTTCAGATTCAGGTCCTTATGCTTGTATGGCAAGTGCTTTACTGACAGTCATCACCCTAGCTCCTTGCATGTTTTACAGAAGATTTTTTTTTTTCTTTTTTGGTTTTTCAAGACAGGGTTTTTCTGTGTAGCTGGCCTACAACTGAGATCTACCTGCTTCTGCCTCCTGAGTCCTAGGACTAAAGGCATGCGCCAAACCACCATCCAGCTCTTAAGATTTTTTTTCTTTAGATAAAATAGCAGATTGAGCAAGTCAGCCTGAGTTATACAGAGTGAGATCCTGTTTCACAACAAACAAAAATTTACTCTGAAAACAAACAAAACCAATTTATCAGTTATGGGGTGAGATATAATAATGAAAATGAGATATAGTGAACATTTAATTACTGATTTAATAGCCTTTGCTTATTAGTCAAGCCTGTATCTTATAAACCAGATAGGATCCTTATGAAGACCTGTGCAGGATGGGCTAAAGAGCTGATGAGAGTTAGATGAAATGGCCTAGGCAGATTAAGCCTATGCCAGTTAGCTTTGCAAGGCTCTCATCATACACACGGATCCCTAGAAAGATGAAACAAAGAAGGTAAGCATTAAGATTGCCGTGCTCCTTCCTGAGGAGTGTTTGGCTTCATGACACAAGGAGGGAGGATAGGTGTGGTCCATGGGATTCTCAGATGAGAGCATGTAGGCGAGAGTCTGGGAGACATCATCAACTATATTCATGGAACAGGGTACTAAAGAGTAGAGGGCCTCACAGGAGAAGACTTGAGTTCTGCAGATGACCCCATGCAGTGTTCAGCATGTTCATATGAAAAATCTCCCAAGGCTGGAGGGACATCTGAAATGATTGGAGGAAATGGTATTCGTGCTCATGGAAAGCCAGGAATGGGGCCTGTTAACTACCATCTTTGAGAGTATGAAATCATAGGTCTTGGTTAAAGTCACTTGCCTCAGTGACATAGAATAATTAGACTCAGACTAAATGTAACTGAGGTCCCCTCCTTAAAAACAAGACCCAACTGGACATTGTGGTACACACCCTTTATTTCTAGCACCCAGGAAACAGAAGTAGGTGGATCTCCAAGTTAGAGGCCAGCCGGTCCACATAGTAAAAACCTATCTTAAAAAAAACCCTGAAGATTCATGCTATTTTTCAGTTTTGTTCTGTGAAAAAATAACACAATATTTGTAAGAATACATCCATTATTCTCACATTCAAGAGATAGAAACCAGAGGACTAGGAGTTTAGGGTCATCTTCAGCTATATAACAAAAAGCTTCAGCACCAGCCTGGGCTACATAAAACAAAGAAAAACAATATTAGTTAGAATATAAAATATTCCCCATCCAACAGGTATGCCAACCAATCAATGAACAAGGAAAGTTAAACAATAAAAACCACCAGTTCAGACTCAATAAAGTTTAAAATTGTCAGGCAATATCACTAAAGTAATCTTTAATGACTATTCAATGTAATGGGGCAGAGGGTGCTGTGTTCCCCTGTCTGTCTTGGAACTCACTCTAGACCAAGCTGGCCTGGAACTCAGAGATCAACCTGCCTCTGCCTCCTTAGTACTGGGATTAAAGTCTCTGTCACTACTGCCAGACAGTGTTACAATAATTTGAGCAGAAACATGGCTGGACTTTTTTAGAAAGATCCAAATAAAACTTGAGGAAATGAAATTAAAATACATCAAATAAAATTGTGAATTGGATAAGAAAAATGGCAAATTAGATTCCCACTTAAGAGATGGGTGAACATGGAGACACAGCAGTAGAAGCTATGCAAAAGAATTTGTGTGAATTTGTAGAAGTTGTAGGACAACTTTAGGTCTTGGTTCTTGCCTTCCACCTTATTTGAGACATCACCTCTTACTGATGCATATATCAAGCTAGCTGGCTAGTGAAATTTTTGGGATTCTTCTGTCTCTGCATCCCATCTTGATGTTGTTTTATGTGTATAGATATTCTGTCTGCATGTATGTCAGTGCACGTTCTTGAAGGCCAGAAGGGTTGTTAGCTGCTGGGATTTGAAGCCTATGCTCTTAATCTCTGAACCATCTCTCTAGCACCAGAGACAAAATTAAATGCAGTTGGAAATTGGCAAATTATAGCCTTGGCTGGCCTAAAGCTTTCTATGTAGACCTGGCTGGCCTTGAACTCATTGAGCTCAGCTGGCCATATCTCTCCAGTTCTGGGATTAGGGCATATACAATTTTAGTACAAAGATACAGTTTTTAAGAGTATGGTGTGTTTATATATATATGAGATAAGTAACTTTCTATGCTGAGTATCCTTTCAGATTTTTAAAAGACATTGTTAAAAGTTAAAATTTGAATACATTTTACAGCTGTGATGCCATATTACATTCTACAGGAAAGGGGATATTTGAGGGTTTTGTTTAGCTTTGGTTTGGGGGATAGGATCTTAACCATGTAGCCCAAGCTGGCCTTTAATTCAAGATATTCTTCCTCCACCACTGGCCTTTAGGACAGGAGTGTATGTTGGTATTTGTGGGGTTTGTTTTTTGTTTGGTTGGGGTTTTTTTGTTTTTGTTGTTTTGGTTTGGGGGGGTGTTTTTTTGAGATAAGACATCACTTCATACCCAGGCCTGGCTCTGTAGCCTGAGTTGATCTAAACTCCCATTCCTCCTGACTCCCAAGTGTGGGGTTACAGATGTATACCACCACACATACTCTGCTGTTTATGAGTGTGTAAAAATGCATGCATACATACATACATACATACATACATACATACATACATACTCTCACTTGCTAATAGACCATGGCCATCTCTTCATGTTAGCATGACACACAACATTCTATCTCATAAATTCTATTTCTACTGGACTATAATAGAGTTTTTTTCCTGTGGTGAAGATTGATTAGGCTACAATTCTTCCTGGAGGCTCGGTATCACAGTAGTTCAATTTTTAAAGTAAATTGTTTTCTGCTTTTTTAAAGACATTACTGTAAAAGTATCTCAAGCAGAGGTCGTTACAACCGTGATTTGGAACAAGATGAAGCATTTATTCCAGTAGGAGAATCCTTGAAAGACCTGATTGACCAGTCACAAAGCTCTGGTAGTGGATCTGGATTACCTTTATTGGTAAGCTCAAAGCCTCTTACAAGTATAAGTCTTGTGTTGATAAAGATGTTCTGTCATTGGTAAGTAGGAATCTTAGTTATTGCAGATAATAGAAATAATGGATTTTTTTTCTCACATAGTAATACAAGATGAAGTTAGTAAAAGTAAGAGATGTGAACCAAGGAAAATAGGATAGGCAAGATAAAGCCATAAGTAAAAAGTCTAATAGTTACATAAAATGTTAGGATATGAAATCCTGTGTAAACGTGGGTTACCTACATATTTTGCTGTAAGCTTTCTTTTCTCCATTCCACTTCAATGCTGAAGTTTGAGCCAAAAACCTCAACAATGCCAAGCAAGCATTCTGCCAATAAACTACATCCTCAGCACTTAGTTTTCTGAGACAAGGTCTTGTAAAATTCAGGTTGCCCTTGAATTTGAGATTCTGCTGCCTCTGCTTTGGCTTCCTAAATGCTGGGGTATAGGGATGAACCACCATGGCCAGCTAGGTATTTTAAGTATTTTGTAATCAACTTAAGCGAAAAAAAAAAAAAAACCAAGTGTGATTCATTCTATCTTTAAAGTTAAACTAATTGGCTAAAAAGGGTTACAGAATAATTTGAGTGGCTGAGTGGGTAGGAGGGTAGAGATAGATGATCAGCTCCTGAAAAGAACATTCTGAGGCAACTCTCCTAATCACAACACGACATCTCCAAGTAGGTTTTTAACTGTAGTAGCACTACTTGAAAGTAAATGCTTAATGACAATTAGAAGAATTGTCTAAAAGTAATCTGTGATAGAATTGGCAAGGTGAGATAGAACTGTCTTTGAATACACATAGTATGTTTATGTAAAAAAATGTAAGATTTGCTATATATAAACCTACTGCAACCAATGCTTAATCAGTTTGCAGAATACAAAGTCATTATTTCAGTTTTACTGAATTTATATTCACTGGCAGCTTAAAGATGCCAGTCTGGAGCCTTAAAGTTAAGTAGTATTATTTAAAATAATACCAAAAAATATGAAGTATTTTAGAAATAATCTTAGCAAATATATACATTGTAAAATTTGTACATTGAAAATTATTAATTGCTGAAATTAATGGAGACCTAAATATATGGAGGTGTTTAGCCTATTTATGAATTGAAGGCAATTCTATTACAATATGAGGTAGCCTCACATTGGAGCATTGTTCCATTTCAATCCAAGTAGAAATGAGACTTTTACAGAAATAGATGAACAGATTTATAAAAAGGATTAGATGAGCTGAAATTGTTTGAATAGAGGGCACAGGCCTAACTACATGGCTTTTGGACTTAACTTTAAAGCTACTGTGGTTAGTACTGCATGTACAGTGGGACAGAACAGAGCCTAGAAAGGGAAACTTAGACACAGGTTTATGTGTATGAGCATTTTGCCTGTATGTATATATCTGTGTACCAGTTACTTACCTGATATAAAGGTCAGAAGAGAGTGTCCCATCCCCTGGATGTGGAGCTACAGATTGTTGTTAGCTACCCTTAGGTACTGAGAATTGAACCTGAACTCTTTAGAAGAGCAACCAAGTACTCTTAACCACTGAGCTGTCTCTCCAACCCAATCAGTTGATTTTATTTTGAGGTTTTGTTTTGTTTTTGTTTTTGTTTTTGTTTTTGTTTTAAAGATAGGGTCTCTCTATGTAGACATGACTGGCCTTGAATTCACAGAGATCTGCCTGCATCTGCCCGGGAGTGTTGGGACCAATGGTGTGCACTACTACCCATTGCTCTATTTATTTATTTATTTATTTATTTATTTATTTATTTATTTATTTATTGTTAAATTTATTATAAAAGGTTACATGAGGCCATTGTTTTAACGTACTGAAGTAATTCAGTGTTGACTAGATTATTAAACAGATAATGTAGGATAAAACACCTCAGGTATTCACTTGTTACAAAGTAAATACATTCCTGTACCTCACTCAGTATTCAAAACTAAGTTGAAATGGAGGGTAGACTTAAATGTAAAAGTTAAACTAGAAAAAACACCAAAAGAATTTTTAAGAAAAGTCATTTTGGCTTCTTATTACATAAAAAGCATTCACAGCACTCGTGAGGCAGAAGCAGGCAGATCTTTGAGTTCAAAGACAGCCAGAGCTATAGATAGAGACACCCTGTTTCAAACCAACAAAAAAGAACAAAAACTAAAAGATGAGTCAGGGGCTGGTAAAATAGATCTGATTTATACAGATTATGCAAAGAAAGTCAATAGCTCCATAATAAGACAGACAGCTCCATATTTTTAACTGGACAGAAGATTTGAACAACAGATTAAGAGTGGCATGTGAGCTCATTGGCGTCATCGAGGGCATGTAGAGCAAGTGCACCAAGGCACTGAGAGAACACCAGAGACGCCATACACAGTTGTTGGAAATGCAAAGGGATGACAGTTGACTAAAAGTTAAGCGTAGACTTCTTCTTTATATTTACTTATTTTGATTTTTTGGAGACAGTTTCTCTGTGTAACCCTGGCCTGGAACCTGCTTTATAGGCCAGATTAGCATCAAACTCAGAGATCTGCTGGCCTCTGCCTCCCAAGTGCTAAGATTAAAGGTGTGTGCAAGTGCTTGCTTTGTATAAAGTAAAACAGTTCTTCTGCTATTTACCCTAGAGATGAAAAAATGTATTTACCCAAAAGACCTGAAGGTGAATGTCCATAGTAAATAAAGTCTAATAAGTAAATAAATAAATTAGCAATAGTCTGAAAGCCCACCAATTTGGCAAATGGATAAACAAATTATAACACATCCATCAGTGTGGAAAAAAATCAATATCAACAGAGATGATTTCAAAGGCAGTTTATGCTTAAGGGGGGAAAAAGCCAGATACAGAAAACTACATAGTATATCTATTTATATATGACTCTAGGAAAGATAAAACTGTAGGGATAAAATGGGTAAGTAATGCCAGCACAGCAGGAAGGAATTAACAATGAAAGTGGGAATTGTTTTACAAAGTGGAAATATTAAGTCTTAAGTTAGATTTGGGTAGTTAGATGACTAGGTATTTAATAGAATATACTACTCAGTCATTTTATTCTGTATATAAATTATATTTGAATAATCTTGGCTTGAAAACATTACAGAAAGAGTCTATGCTAAGTGATGCATGATGTAAGTCAGTTCAGCTTCACATAGCTCCAGCCTCAGATACAGCATCTTTTTTTTTTTTTCATTTAAAATTACTAGTAGTCTGAAAATGAAAGATGAAGTATATATTTCAGGTATTATTTCCAATAACTACCTGTATTCTGAACCAGAAATAGAATTTAAGTTGTGTATAAAAAACAAAATTGTAATTCTGACAAGTACAGCCAAGGAGAGAGGGAGAGGGAGCTTTTAAAGTTAGACAAACAGCACTTTACAGGAAATTAGGCCTGCAGCAAGATCCATGAGAAGGATAAACAACTGCATTATAGACAGGTGGAGTCGAGCTTCAGCATCAGGTCGGAGGCTCCAGCAGGGGAGCAGAGCTGCTTCCATTCCCTTACGAAGACCAGTCCTCCGCTATCTGGGAAAGTTTCAAGAGGGATCCTGTTTGAACATCCAGCTCAGCTGAATCGACCCTGTCAATTAACCTGGTGATAGATGTCATAGCCAGCTCAGCCTCACAATCAGACAATTATTTGTAAGAGCCAGAAGTGGTGGATGACTCCAAGAAAACCGCATCTTCCAGACGTAATAGGACTGTTGTACATATGAATTCAGAAACTAACCACATGAACAGCTTCAGACAAAACCTCAGCATGGAGAAGGAAAGTAGACACATATCTCACCTCTAACCAAAAGAGACCTGGGAGGAATTTGGGGAGGGAAAAGAATGGTCAAAATATACTGTATAAAAAATTAAATTTAAAAAAATGTTGGGGGCTGGAGAGATGGCTTAGTGGTTAAGAGCACTGACTGCTCTTCCAGAGGTCCTGAGTTCAAATCCCAGCAACCACATGGTGGCTCACAACCATCTGTAATGAGATCTGATGCCCTCTTCTGGTGTGTCTGAAGACAGCTACAGTGTATTCATATATAATAAATAAATAAATCTTTAAAAAAAAAAAAATGTTGGGCTGGGCAGTGGTAGTGCACGCCCTTAATCCCAGCACTTGGGAGGCAGAGGCAGGCAGATTTCTGAGTTCGAGGCCAGCCTGGTCTACAGAGTGAGTTTCAGGACAGCCAAGGCTACACAGAGAAACCCTGTCTCAAAAAAAAAAATAAAGAGTAACAATATTTTTTTTAAAAAAAATGTTGGAATTAGGAGCGTGTAGGTAAGTAGTAAAAACTGGGGCTGTGTCAGATCAGGTAGGATCTTAGAGGCTGGGTTGAGAGGTTTTAGCTATCATTTAGATTTTGGTGCATAGTAAATCACCCATAACTCAGTAGCTTAAAGCCAAAACATTTATGGTTTCTCATGATTATGAGTCTGCTAGGAAGTTTGTTTTCTAGACTTGCTCAGCTATCGATAAGTTATATAGCTAGTTCATAGGATTGACAGTTGACATGCTGTTTCATAAGAGCAGAAAGAAGGGCAAGTTATGGTACACAGTGTCTGTGAGAACTACTTGTTACACATTTGCTAACTCTGCAGCCCAAAAGAAGTCAAGTAACCAAAGCCCAAGAGTGTGGGCAAGGAGAGTTCCCAAGAGAGGCCGACTAACCTGTGTGTGATTCCAGAATACGTGTTCATTGCTGCTTTTACATACCATAAACATGGAGCTAATATACTTACATTGGATTATACTGTAATTATACTGGCATATAATTACATATGCCAGGCTTTTTAATGGAATGCCCTTAATAGATTCTTTTCATAAAGAGCTTAAAACGCTGTACTTTGTTTTCTGTATAGGTTCAACGAACTATTGCCAAACAGATTCAGATGGTTCGGCAGGTTGGTAAAGGCCGTTACGGAGAAGTATGGATGGGTAAATGGCGTGGTGAAAAAGTGGCTGTCAAAGTGTTTTTTACCACTGAAGAAGCTAGCTGGTTTAGGGAAACAGAAATCTACCAGACGGTGTTAATGCGTCATGAAAATATACTTGGTAAGTGTCTTATGCTTTGGTAAGTTCCTCATTCTGGCAAGATTCTCAGGGTGCACAAGAAAGCCTGCCATGTGCATATGGATTCAAATGTTTGTGTAGCTCAAAGAAATCTAGTAGAATTCACAGTGAACTAGAACTCTTTCCTGGATGCCAAGAAAACATCTTACTACTCTAAACAGCATTAGCTGTATGTGGTAGCACATGCCTCTAATCAATCCCAGCACTGAAGAGGCTGAGTCAGGATGATCACAAGTTTGAATATAGCCTAGACTACATAGCAAAACCCTGTCTTTAAAAATACTATAAATTTGGACTGGAGAGATGGCTCAGTGGTTACAAGCACATACTGTCCTCTCAGAGGGCCTGAGTTTGATTCCTAGCATCCGTATTAGGCAGCTTACAACTGCTTGTAACTCTAGCACTAAGATATTCAACACCCTTCTGATCTCCTTCACAAACAACACACACATAAATTAAAAATACTGTAAATTTATTATAAAACTGTAGTGATGAGTATAAATAATAGGAAATGAATTCTTGGTGATACTTTGAAAACATTTTGCTAGTCAAATTAGGATAGTACTTCCTATTCATAGTAAGTAGCTCATTCCCAATATCCTAATGTGCATCTGTAACTGCCTGTAACTGTCTCTGCAAACAACTAACCTTTTAAACTCATTAAACAGGTTTTATAGCTGCAGACATTAAAGGCACTGGTTCCTGGACTCAGCTGTATTTGATTACTGATTACCATGAAAATGGATCTCTCTATGACTTCCTGAAATGTGCCACACTAGACACCAGAGCCCTACTCAAGTTAGCTTATTCTGCTGCCTGTGGTCTGTGCCACCTCCACACAGAAATTTATGGTACCCAAGGAAAGCCTGCAATTGCTCATCGAGACCTGAAGAGCAAAAACATTCTTATTAAGAAAAATGGAAGTTGCTGTATTGCTGACCTGGGCCTAGCTGTTAAATTTAACAGGTAAATGATTCTTTGTCCACCGTTTGGAAATGATTTTAATATCTAACAGGTATTTATACTCAGGGTTGTTTGTTTCTTTTTCTTTTTACAAAACTGCATCTTACTATAGTTTTCTGGAGATTGTTACAGGTGAACCCAGGATCTTATGTATGCTAAGCACATACTCTGCTACTAAATGACGTTTCCAGCCTCTACATAATTGTTGATTTCCTTTTTTTATGCTTTTATTTCAGTTTACCTTTACTTGCTCTTTTTGCAGATGATAGTTGTCCATGTTAAATATAAAGTAACCTCTAACCTAAATAATGAGCATTAAGTTTGCTTCCAGTTCATCTGTATTTTAAAAACGGTTATAAAGCCAAGTGGTGGTGGCACATACCTTTAGTGTTAGCATTTGGGATGCATAAGCAGGTGAATCTCTGAGTTCCAGGACAGCCTGATCTACATAGTAAGTTCCAGGACAGCCAGGGTTATACAGAGAAACTCTATCTCAAAAAAACAAAACAGAAACACCACAACAAAAATGGTTATTATGAACATTATTGAATTTTATACATATTCTTTTTTGTTTGTTTGTTTTGATTTTTGGGTTTTTGTTTTGTTTTGTTTTGTTTTTTTGAGACACGGTTTCTCTGTGTATCCCTGGCTGTCCTGGAACTCACTCTGTAGACCAGGCTGGCCTCGAACTCAGAAATCCGCCTGCCTCTCCCTCCCAAGTGCTGGAATTAAAGGCGTGTGCCACCACTGCCCAGCATATCATTCTATTCTTGAACACTTACATAAATATTTCTGCTGGGGTTCAGGAGTCATCCCATAAACCACATGCATGAACACTGATCTCAGTCAGACAGGGGTAGTCTATTAAGCACACACTCCAAGACTAACCTATCACAGTTCAGAGCTGAAGCTAAGACCCCAAACATTTCTCAGGGCTAGCTTATAAAGGCTAAACCCACAAAAACCACAATGAGTTCGTATGCAGGTACTGGAAGTGCTGCTCGGTGGTTAGCCCTGACTCAAGGTACTTTAGACATAATAGTTAGTATTAACCTTAAATTTGATGCATCCTAAGTGAAGCTTATGATTGTGGAATTTCTTTTTTTTTTTAATTATTTATTTAATTTTATGTGCATTAGTATGAGGCTGTCAGATCCCTTAGAACTGGAGTTACAGATAGTTCTGAGCTGCCATGTAGGTGCTAGGAATTAAACCTGAATTAAACTAGGAATTAAATTCCTAAATTAATTCCTAAATTAAATTAGGAATTAAACTCTTTTGGAAATGCAGACAATTTTCTTAATCTCTGAGCCATTTCTCCAGCCCCCTGGAATTTCTTAAGATTAACAAACTTTATTACATCCAGAACATAACAGGGTATGTGGTCAGCATGACCCTGCTCTGAGTCAAGTTATTTTTCTGCATCAGTGACTAGCAGGCATACAAATTTATATTGAAAAAAAAAAACTATAAAAATTTCAAGTAACTGTTGAACCCGTTAAAATGTATTTTAAAGCCGGGCAGTGGTGGCACATGCCTTTAATCCCAGCACTTGGGAGGCAGAGGCAGGCGGATTTCTGAGTTCGAGGCCAGCCTGGTCTACAGAGTGAGTTCCAGGACAGCCAGGGCTACACAGAGAAACCCTGTCTGGAAAAATAAAAATAAAAGAATGGAACAGTTGTTTAACATTTCAGAATTCATTTAAGGATAAAAAGTAAAAATATGGGTTTACTGGTTGAGGGCTGGAGAGATGACTTAGCAGGTAAGGACACTTACTGCGCTTACAAGGACCTGGGGTCAGTCTCCAGCACCTACATCAAGCTTCTCAAAACTACTTATAATTTCGGTTATAGACACCTGCAGTCACCTGGTGCATAGGAACTCATGCAGGCACACGTACATGCACATAAAGAATGAATAAATAATTGTTTTGTTGTTCATTTTGAGGCAAGGTCTCTCTTTGTCACCTGGGCTGATATGGAACTCTGTGGACCAGGCTGACCTTGAACTCCCAAAGGTTCTCTTGCCTCAGCCAGTGGTGGGTTTAAAGGCATGTGCCACCACACCTGGCCTTCGTTGTTGTTGTAGTGATAGCAGCAGTAGTAGTAATTAAAGTTGTATGGGTCATCTCAACCGGCCTGTCTTCTTGATCATTAACAGTGTTATTTTTCTTTTTGTTGTTTTGAGGGAGAGTTGTTAGAAAATAAATTCTAGGTTTTCATTTCTCAGCTCTGACTCCCAGAGTGACAACTCTGAGACTAATTATTTATCATTAAATGCTTTGGCCATAAACTTTGGCTCATTCCCTGACTAACTCGTAACTTACTTAGCCCATTCAAACTATTCTGCGTCTACTACTTGGTTAGTTCCCTCTCCTTCAGTTCCGGCCTGCTTTCTTCACGTCTTTCCTTCAGCTCAAATCTCTCTTGTGCCTCTCCCGAGTCTCCTTTTATTCTCTCACTGTTTCCCAGAATCTTCCCTCTTCCTGTCAGTGTCCCACCTATTTCCTACAAAAGCTCATAGTCATCAGCTTGTTCTGTTTTGTTTTGTTTTTTTGTTTGTTTGTTTGTTTGTTTGTTTGTTTTGGGACAGGGTTTCTCTGTGTAGTCCTGGCTGTCCTGGAACTCACTCTGTAGACCAGGCTGGCCTCGAACTCAGAAATCTGCCTGCCTCTGCCTCCTGCCTCCTGCCTCCTGCCTCCTGCCTCCTGCCTCCTGCC